GAGCCCAACATGGGGCTCGAACCCACGAACTTTGAGATCATGACCTGAGCCGAAGTCAGTCGCTCAACCGACTGGGCCACCCAGGTGCCCCTCTGTGCCTCATTCTTAATACTGTCTTCTGGCCTGCCTTCCAGTTCTCTGATCATCTTTTTAGCTATGTCTAATCTGTTGTTAAATTTACCCTGAGTTTTTTGTTGTTGTTGTTGTTGTTTTCAGCGTTTATTCATTTATTTTCAGAGAGAGGGAGAAAGAGAGAGAGAACATGCAAGAAGGGAGGGGCAGAGAGGGTGTGTACCCAGCAGGCTGCATGCTGTCAGCGCAGAGCCTGACATGGGGCTCAAACTCACGAACTGTGAGATCACGACCTGAGCCAAAATCAAGAGTCGGACGCTTAACTGACTGAGCCACCCAGGTGCCCCAATTTCCTGAGTTCTTAATTGCTGTGAGTTGTAGTTTTCAGTTCTAGAAGCTCTTTTTTTTTTATTCTATGATGCCCTTTAAAAAAATGTGGTGGATTCTTAAAAGTTTCCAGTCCTCTGTGGAAATTCTCAGTTTATCTTTTAGCTCTTTGAACATGTTACCGTTAAAATCTGTGTTTGATAAACCCTCTTGCTGGAGCGCTTGCAGATATCATCACCCATTGTCGGTTTTATTCTGTTGGTCTCAGTTCTTGTTGTGTTGCCCCCTCGTGTGGCAGGTTATAATTTATTGTGTGCTGGACAGTGTACTTGAAACACTAGATGAACGTGTTTATGGCCCACATGATGTTGTCTTCCTCTAGAGGAGATTTTGTTTGCTTCGGCCAGGAGCTGGGGCATTAGCGATTTGGATCGTATTACTTCTACTAAAGGGAATCAGGCTGTCAAAAGCCTTCCTCCAACATCTCGGTTGCCTTAGCTTTCTCTTCTGGATCAGCAAACACGCCCAGGACACAAGTTGCCCTAAATGCTACGCTCATCTCTCCAGATTTCCATCTTCTCGTTGCTAATTCCTAGTAATTCCCAGGAATTTTTCATTACTTTAACTCCCTGATGTGTCAATCAATTTGCAAAATATATTGTCCAACTGTTTTTTTTTTTTAATTTTATGGTTAACAGGTTGGTGTTCTTCCTGGTTCGCATTTTTATTTTTATTTTTTATCATTTTTATTTATTTTTGAGATAGAGAGAGGCAGATCATGAGCACGGGAGGGGCAGAGAGAGAGGGAGACACAGAACCCGAAGCAGGCTCCAGGCTCCGAGCTGTCAGCACAGAGCCCGACGCGGGGCTCGAACTCACGGACCGTGAGATCATGACCTGAGCCGAAGTCGGACGCCCAACCGACTGAGCCACCCAGGCTCC